ACCTGCGTTTCGGGGCGGTGAATGCCCTATGGCTCCACATACCTTCTCAGAAGGCAATTGGATCCTCCAAGCCTACATAAATAGTCTCCAATCACCTTCTCACGTTCGGTATGTGGATAGGGATGGATCGCACAACCTGCCTGGTCCCCTGAAATCATGCTGGAGGTGGATGGAAGAGTATGATGCCATCCACGCAACCGTAGCCATGGTTCCTTCAGGGAGTGTTGCACCTGTCTCGGGACCCTAGCACCTCGGAACCTGGGGCGAAGGTTGGTATTTCCTGGACCCCAAAAATTATCTTGATCTGACGACATGTCGGTCTTGGCCTCCTCAATTGCTGGTCTTGGCCTCCTCAATTTCTAGACCGTGTACTGCGACCCCTGTCGCCGGCAACGACGTGTCATTTCCCGCACTGCCTCCGCGCCGCCAAGTCCAAACTGGCCTCCAAGCCCTACTTGGAGTCCTTGAGCATTGCACCTTGCTTCGCTTAAGTCGCCCCACGTGTTGCGAAAGCACGTGCGAAGTGCGGAGCATCGATCAAGACGCGCCAAGGGATCACGTGCGGTTTTCACGCAGAGGAACATCAGAAAAACTCGGTTGCATCGAACTTCTCTCACTGCTGGGGTGTGGACGTTGTCCTATAGATACTACAGTGGTTTCAGAGTAGATGGCACACCCCCCAAGATGTCTTTTGGATGGGGTTCTATATAAACCTCCTCGGGGGGATTGTGCCATCTACTCTCACTCAATCCACTATAGAAGATGGTGCACAGCATCAGCTTGAACAGGCTTGATGACTCTTCTTTTCACGATTCTTGAGGGTACCCACCTCAGGACTACCCACCTCAGGACTGCTGGCCAAAGCGCGTTGCGAGAGAAAAGCCACCGTCAGGTTGTGTTTTCTTGGCCTCCAAAGCTGCGATTGAAAAGAAGATGCAGTGTTCCTGTAGGTAGGGCAGAAAGAGAGGTTGATTTGGAGGAGGGATATCAAAGGGATCTGTTTGGGGGAACTGGGTCACCGTTGTTGTTTTACCATGGCTCAAATTGAAAGGAACCGTGAGGCTGTGAGGCCCTTTGGAAGGCATGCCTTTGGAAGTGAGAAACAAAAAAGCAAGCAAGACCCTATATAGAACCTCCTCCTTTTTTGAGCCAAACCACATTATGTTCTTCAATCCTTTCAACATCCCAGGTCCCAGGACCTCCCCGGAACTTGGCCAAGCGAAGGGTCCTCCGCCCCAAACAACGACGTGCTGTGCCAGAACGTGCCGTGCTCGACGGACGCGACCAAGGCGGTGTCGAAATCGCAAGACCCGGTGCTGGTGGACTACTTGATGCAATTCTTTCATAACATCGCTCCTTGAACGAGATGTCGAAGAGAGTTTTTGGAGGAGATCTTCTTTTTGTTTGCTTGAACTTGTGGAAGAGATGTTTTTTTTGGGGGGTGTTCTGGAGAAGATGGAGGTAACTGGAGATAACTGGACACCAGGTCGGAGGTATATATGCCCGGTAGATGTCTCTGGCTTTCTACATGGCACAGACTTGGGGAAGGAGAGAATCTCTGGTGCGTTTTCTCTCCCAAAAATCCACAGATCCTCTCAATCCGGGCAACTCGACCAACCGACCGGTTTTATGAAGAAACACCTGTTCGAGTGGAGACATCCCTTTCTCCTCTGTACACGAGAGGCCGTCCAGAACGGTCTTTTGGAGCGAACGGTGCTGTTGTTGGGCCCCAAGGAGGGCCCCATTTTCCCAGAGTGGTCCGGCGTTTCTTCTATCCGATAGGCTGACAGTGAGTAGTTATTAAACAAGTAACAAGTCCGTTAGCTGATGTTTTTTTCTGCCATCAAATGCATTTCTCTGGAAGAAAAACGTCCGTTCCAGCTACCTTGAAGAGGATCTTCCTTGCACGCGCCTGGTTTTCTTGCTTTCATGCTTCGCTGATGGGAGAGGGTCGGTTGAAGCATCCAACAGATTCCGACGCTGTCTCAGGCACTTCCCTGAACCGTCACACTTTTTGGGGTCAAGTATTTGTACCAAGTGGAGCAGCATATCCACTGAAACACCAATGTAGACTCGTGATTAACTTTCACCCCCCCCGTCAGGCCTTTTCAGAGGTTCTACCATCCATGGACATGTTTGATTATTTGATTATGTTTGATTCATCAAGAGTCTACATTCGCTTTTGAAGCCCCGACCATTTTTGGCAACGTTTTCTACCACCGTGTTTGGCAACGTTTTGCGGACTTTCCAGAGGTCGGAGTTGTGTCGAAGTCCATTTCGGGACTGGCAGCAGTTGAGGTGAAGTTGGATGGCAAGAGTGGAAGTCACTCGACTGGGCACAGGTGGAGGGGGCCGACAGTGCAGGTTTTCCGATGGTCTTGGGGCCGATCCTCCAGATGCAGTTGCTTTCAGAGGAGACCTCCAAACCATCAGACATTTTGCACCACCACACGGCTATTCTGTCTCTGGGGGGGTAGGGAGGACGGTCGTCCCTTCACCTGTATGGATGCGGTGTTCTCTTCCACGACCGGGCCACAGCGGGCGCTGTGGGTCGCCAACGCCCACCCGCACCGGCCAGGGGCGGGGGAGGTGCAGGGGAGTGGGTCGGATGATTGGAAGAGTCTAATAGTCCTTTCCACTCCAACCCCCAATGATCGCAATGATTTTGGAGGGGGTCAGGTTGAGTTGTAGGAGGTTCAACTGATGGAAGAGGTCCACTTGAGCAACAGTGGAGGGGTTCTTTTCGGGTTTAAGCCGCAGTGACCACATGGAGCTCCAAGTGGTGGAGACCTCAAAAAACAACGTTGTGACATCCAAGCACCTAAAAGCCTCCGGTCAGGTCTTGGTCAAACGGCTTGGTCGAAGGTCATCGTAGAAGCTCCAGCCATATGTGAATAACCCTCCGCCGCCTTTCGCTGCCTTTTTTTGTTATCGGGTGAAACTGCGAGAAAGGGATATGGGGGGAGGTGGCTGGAGCCACAGAAAGCAGACTGGTTTGGGGATGCCCTATAGATCTCGGAAGTGTTTAGTGGCAACCAGAGTTGCCACAGGCGCGACACTCGTGTCAGTACACCTTTTACACTCACTAGACATCACTAAACTAGGTATTGATCTGTTCCTCCTTTTCAGTTCCATCTATTTTGAGCGACCCCGGTCGCCACATCCCTGAGGCATGCTCATGGCCTGTGGCTTCCATCGTCACATCTTCAACTATGTGCCTGGGACTGAACTGACCTTTGTGCATCGTGGCGACCACACGAACACTTGGAGACCCTCCAAAGTGAGCAAGTGATGTAGATTCTGATGCACGGGGGGGAACCTTGGAAGCTCAAGAACATGCATCTCTTCTACAACTGTCCTACACAACTTAGTGGCAAAACACAAGAACCACTTGCAGCCATTTGCCGACTCGTCCCTTGCAGAAAGGAGTCAAGCTCCTAATTGATCGAAGCACGAACCAGGGGCGATCCATGGACCTTTGAGCAAACACTGGGTACTCCGGATGTTCCTCGTCTACAGCTTGGGCCAACCCAATTGGACAGATTTGGATGGTTCAAAAGTTCAATCTACTTCATTGTACCGCAAAAGATCGATGCAACACCTACCCACAAACCTTTAGGATAGCTACAGTCGTGCCATGTCCTGCTATTTTGACTCTCCCAATATGCGCGTGAGACCTGTGAGGCCTTCTTGTTTTGACGGCCTTCCTCGCGGGCGTTCCACCGCTTCGCCGCGCAAAACCTAGGAGCGCTTAGAGTCGCTGTCGGTGGTCTCGGCCATCTACCTCTGCATCTCGGTCGGAGATGTCGGTTCCCACGCGGCGTGAAGCGCCCAGCGAAGCGAAGGTGTTGCAGCGAAGCGTGGGCGGCAGGATGGGGGGTTCTTTCAGTTGAGATGGGGGACCTGTGGCCTGGGGATGGATCTTTGGAAGTAGAGGAGCTTGGTCAGTTCCGATCGTTCTTCGCTCCCTGGACAGGCTTAGTACTAGTCTGCGGACTGTTTCATTACAGTGACTTTTCCGCTTGAAGTAGTGTTTGTACAGACAGATCCCCTCTTCAGTCACCGTTGATGGGGCTTATGCTATCTAATTAGACGATTGAAGCCGGGGAAAGTGGAAACGTGTTGTTTCATTGGGACACCGGAAGCGAGCCACACCGGTGACCGGGCCATTTCAGGACGGAAGGGCAGTCCTGGCCACTGCGATACTACTAGACCATGACCATTCATGTATGGCCTATTTACCTACATTGGGATGGTTTCAGGGGTCAATGACGTAGGCATATATTCCATACACGGATGGTCTGGGTTGGTACAAATCCGCGGACAACCCAATGCAATTCCCTGGCAGAGACTCCTGCGTGTTAGCACATTGAGCCATGGACATAATATCTTTCAGTCGAGAATTGGGGATAGAAACCAACCTAGGCTCCCCCAGGATGGTGATGCAGGAATCTTGATCTCGACCCAATCTCATGAAGAAGCTCAACTAGTTTCTACTTCCAGTTCCCCGTTCCCCATGAAAACAAGACCTCCACCCCCCAAGCCGTTCCTTCATGGGCTTTGAGGAACCCGTGGGGAAAGCCTCTCTACCGACCCGGCCCAGGTGATTTGTGTCGGCAAGTGGCCAACACCGACGCCGTGGTCCGCGCCACGCTCCTGGAGGCCGCACGACCGGTTGGACGAAGAACGAAGCAGAGGAAAGCTGATGGATTTGTTGGACCGGGGCTTTTTGGTTCGACTACATTGATAGGTTCAACGTATATAATTTTTTAAAGCCTGGCTCTTGTCAAGGACCAAATCTCTTGATGTTGGTGCATGCCGGGCCTTTCAGAAGGCGCTGCTTCTCATCACTGGCCTTTTTCGGCTCAGTGGTTTTTGACACCGACTTGGCAGCAAAAGACCGTGAATCGTCAATCCAAGCCTACCTCTAACATCCTCTAACCACCCGGCTGGCTGGTTGTTTGGAATGTGTTTGCTTTGTGTATCCCTATGGGGGGGGTGTGATTGTTTGATCCCTGGAGTGTTTTTAACTGGAACCCCCCACGACTTAGTAAGTCGCCTTTGTTGGCTTCATGGCGTCGGCGCTACCCAGAGAGGTGCTGCCAAAGGTGTTTGCCTTCGTTCCCCGCGACCTGCAATGCCTATCAGCCTTGAGGGTCACAAGCAGAGATGCCAAAGAAAGTGTCGATGCTCGATGGTGTGAAGCTCGATATTGGACGGAATGCCTTGTCAAAGACATCATTGATTTTGTACCAGATGACCTCCAATGCCTCTCATCGCTACGAGTGGCCAGCCAAAACTCCAAAGGGTGCGTTGAGGCTCGATGGTGGAAGAAGCAAGTGAGGTGTATGAAAGACTTTGTGGATCAGCATGAGCATTTATTTGCTGATGATCCAGAGATGGATGAAGTTGATGAACAGCAAGAAGACTTTGCTCGGAATATTCTACTCTGGGTGCAGCCATTCCTTGTGAATCAGCCGTGGAGGATTGAAGGCCCTGCTCAACCGACTGGAGATTCTGCCACGGATGAGGTCACCCCGCAAGCAGCACATATGAATCTGAGAAGAGCACTTGTCGACTTGAGTCACTTTGAGCAATCGTCGGATTTGTCTTGTTATCTTCTTGCGCGGTTTGATACCTTGGGAAGGCTCTCACATAGACTAACTTGGTGCGTGTACTACCTTGTGCTATCCGATTGTAATGACTTGCTAGATACCTCAACTCTTCAGCAAGAAAGGGAACGAAACTGGTTGCATATCTCCCCCGAGCTGCTTCTTGACTCCCGTTTGAGAAAGTGCAGAAATGTCCTTGATCAAATTAGAAAGGTTCCTCGTAGCAGGAGAGGAGCCTTTTTTCTCTGTCTCCCGAATCAAGCCTACTTTTTGTCAGCCAACAAGATTACGTGACCAAGTTGTGTTGCAGTTTCTGTCCATGGTGATTCTCGCGGGAATGTTAGCTTTGTCTAGAGTCTAGTCACCCCACTTGCTGCTTTCAACCTTTCTCGAGCTTCGATCCAAGGTGAGAGACACAATGATGTGCTGCGAGACATCCTGCAACAAGCGCGACACATTGAGCGCTATCATCATAGACACACGGACACTTTACATACCATGGTTTCGCACACAGATCGCAGACACATGGAGGGACCAAATGAATCACTGTTTGCCAACCTTGAGACCAGCGAGATCAGAAGTGAAGATGCTCCATCTGCATCCAATGTCCACACGGAAATGACCAGAGAAGGCATTCCCCGGGAGGAAGTGATGAACCTTCTGAGGCGTCGTGGGATCAACGAGGACCTGGTTCAGGCTTTGCTTGGAGATTTTGAGCAGAGTGGGTATGTTGCCCAAGGACCAATTGACCACAGGTCAGAGATCAGTGAGCCAGAGGGTGGCGGTCAGTTGGCCACCTTGCTGGATGACGACAAGCACAGCGGCCACAAGAAAAGGTTGGGGAAGTATTTGGCATGCCTGTTGCTAGTGGGCATCATGAATATTCTGATGAGTATAGTGTTTCTACTTACATTACCCACACCCTTCACTGGAAATGCTGACACAATCGCCTTACAAATGGAGGGTAATGACAAGGAAGCCACAACAGCAGCTGCTGAGACGCCGCTGTATTTGGCAGCGCAGAAAGGGGACGCGAACATGGTGGATGCATTGCCTGAGGAGATTCTGGAAGCCAGTCGAAAAGCTCTTCTACCCACATCGGGAGACCGACCAGAGGAGCTTCCTCAAGATGGTCCGAATGCTGTTCTACCTCCACCGGCAGCCAAACACAGGAAATTATTCTTGGCTCGTCGGAATGCTTCTGTACCCCCAAAGCCAGACCAACCAGAAGCGATGCCCTCAAAAGAAGACGGAGAAGAGGAGATTCCCGACCAGTGTCCAAACGGCGAGGCATCAACCTCCTCCGCTTCCCCGATGGATCAACCAGAGGGCAGTGGTCTCTGGGCATTGTTGTGTTTGGATGATGGCGCACTCGGCGCACTCAAAAAAAGGGTGGAAGTTTTTCAAGGCAAGGAAGTTTTTCAAGGCATCCCTTGCGCTGGTGGGCATCTATATTAGAATAGTGTTAGGAATCGTATCGTCCATTCCAATTGGTCTCCTGATCTATTCCCTCCTGAATGGTGAGACGGCGCTGCCCAAGGAGGCCACAACAGCAGCCGGTGAGACGGCGCTGCATTTGGCATCTCAGGGGGGCTGGGGGATAGTGGTAGATCAATTGCTCCAGGCAGGTGCTGCGGCCGTAACAGCAGCCAGTGAGACGGCTTTGCATTTGGCAGCACATACGGGCAATGAGTTTGTGGTGGGTCTTTTGCTCCAGGCAGGTGCTGAGGCCGTAACAGTAGCCAGTGAGACGGCTTTGCATTTGGCAGCTCAGAGCGGCTTTTTGTTTGTGGCAGGTCAATTGCTCGAGGCAGGTGCTGAGGCAGGTTGCTTTGCTTTGGGCAGGTGCTGACAAGGAGGCCACAACAGCAGCCGGTGAGACGGCGCTGCATTTGGCATCTCAGAACAGCCGGTGGCCTGTGGTACATCAATTGCTCAAGGCAAGTGCTGACAGGGAGGCCACAAACGTAATTAGTCAGATGGCACTGTATTTGGCTGGATCGGCGCTCCAGATCGACCAGTGGCATGTTGTAGGTCAATTGCGCAAGGTTCCCCTCATGAAGCTGAAGGCCACAGTTTGTGAGTTGATCATAGGTCTGATTTTGCATGCATGCTCCGTGAAAAGAGTCCTGCTGCATGCTGCGGCAGAAGAATTGTTCTTTCCAGACGAGCTCCCTTCTGAATCCTTAGGAGAACTTCATTAGTTGCTGCCGGGGGACAAAGGGGCGCCAGCCCTAGGCACGTCCGTGTTTGGACATCAAGCGAGCGAGGCCATCATCCCTCAGGGGCAATCAACATATTTCTGATGCCGAAGATCAGTTCGGGACAGAGACAGGGACGCAAGCCGCAAACCTGCATTGTGCTTAGACTCAAGACCAGCAAAAGCCCGCGTCCTTTGGCAATTTGGTCGGAACTGTGATTTCATGATTCTTCATGTGAGTACCCGATCATACCATCCATCCAAATCACCTTGAAGGAATCATGAAATCGCCTTGATGAACCCATCCATCCAATCGGAACTCTGATCCTACTCTCGTTGTATGAGTACCCTGATCTAGTTTCGACTAGGCCCATCATCCATCCAAATGTCAGCTGCTGAAGGACCCTCAGCAGTCAAAGCCCTTTTTCACCGCTTGACTTGGGATGACTTTGGATATTTAATTTTTCGGACGTCTCATCCAAAAGCTTTCCCCATCCTCTCCATCCCACCCATCCGCCAGCGATGGTTTGTTGCACGTCAGGAGATGATCTTCTCGGTGCTGACCGATGCCTGGGTGGTCTACTTGGACGCTGGGCGAAGTGGCCGGCGAAGTGGCCGGCCCAAGCAGCCATCCAAAGCTGGTGCATGAAGGAGCCCTCCAGTCCTCCAAAGTCGAAGCCTTTTCTTTTGGATGTGCCAACTTCCAGAGGTGGCGCAACGTGCAACACCCAGATCAGTCCGAACTGTTGGGTTTATCTTCACGATAAAGACACTGGCAGTAGAGGTGTATGGTTTTGCAACCTTTCAACGTGTTGTTGGGGTTCCAGGTAGTGCTTTTTCAGCAGATGACTGTCTCCCACATCATGGTCACCTGGTTTGGGATGCAGAACATGAGGAAAGCTTCACCTATTTTAGATGCTTTCCAAGGGTACCATGTCATCTGGTTCACACAGAAGTATATCCAACATCATCCCTCATCTCGTCATCTCGCATGGCCCTTGTGGCCCTTGCGCGACTTGCGGTGGAATCGGCACCGACCGGTGGAACGCCTCTCCTCTCGTCGATGGGCAAATGCATCGGTCGACCACCATCGTCCGAGCTCGATGGTCGTCCCACGTGGCAGGGGGTGAGAGGAGGTTGCCCTGTTTACTCGGGATGTGGCGGAGTCAACACCAGAAGGGCTTGCATGGTATGGCATGGCGCAGGCACCCCGTGGGTTCCAAATCTGCGCCGGATACCCCGAGATCTCCCGGCCCGCGGAGATCGGCGTATCGGCGCCGCCCACCTAAACCCCCACCATGACATTCGGAGAAAAGAGATTTGATAGAGCTGCTAGGCGCAACATCTGCACGTGTTGATCCCTGGTCCATGGTTTGCATGTGTGTCTACCGCGACCAGAACGTCCCAACCGCGCGAGGGTTTGACCGGCCCCAACACCCAAACGGGTTAGGGTGCTTTGCTGCTGACTTATGTATCGCCCGAGATCGGACCCCCTCGCGCACGGACCCAGGAGCCATACTTTTTCTGGTCAAGGGCCCTTAGTCAGCTTTACTTGAGTCATCATCATCATCATCATCATCATCATCATCATCATCATCATCATCAT